ACCACGGATGGAAACCAAACAAGAGATGCTATGCCCTGGCCCACTCAGGGGCCAGAATCGAGAACTCTTCACAGTCCCCAGACGTACTCTGGGACGTATGGTGTTTGTGATTTATTAGCTTGGACATCTGCCCCCTACTTCTCTCCAGGGACCTGCTGGCTCAGTCAACTGGAGGGTCAACAGACAGAAGGCAAGAAAGTGAGAATGGCCAGAATCTAGAGACAGAAGTTTGAAGACATCACTTCTAGGACTCCGCACATGGTGAGTGTGGAAAACCCATGCAAAGGGGGAGCTCAAAGACAGTTCAGGGAGGAGATGAAGGAGACCCTGTGTCACAGTTCCATGTTTGGAACTGACAGCATGTGACACGGGGGTGCCAAAGTGAAGATGCCAGGAAATCGGAGCCCGGTGGACTCCAGGAGCTGGAGTAAAGGAGCATAAGAGTTTGTCAGTGAGGCTCCATCACCATGTAGACAGAGGAGACACGGACCTGAGAGCAACCTCAGCAGCACGTCAGGGCCATTTACACGCTGAAGTAGAGATGGTTCCTAGGGTGTAAGGTGATCTACAGAAACCACTCTCAAGACTTGCCTTTGCTCTACTGATACCCTCTGATTATGTGTCCAGACTGGAGCTTCAGTTTAGAGACCCTCCTTCCAGAGCCACTAAGTCCTATTTCCTATTTCCTATTGCACCTCCTTCCATGGAGATGTGGAGAGTCCCAGCTTCTAAGGTGCATGTACACACACACACACACACACACACACACACACACACACACACACACACACACCTGTACTGGATGAAATCCATCCGGGGAGGACTCAGGAACGCCAGTCGCCCGGAGCCACGCCCTTCTAACCCATCATCCCATAGCCTGGGAGAGCCCCGCCCCCACATGGACTCTGTGGTCTCCAACTTACCAGCAAGGATCTGGAAGACCCCAGTGATGTAAAAGCGGCCCCCCTTGGTGAGGGTGAAGAGCTGGCAGAAGAACAGGAACAGAGACAGAACGCTGAAGATGACGGACAGGATCATGGTGGCCTGGACAGACTGCAGCCATTCTGGGGGGAGGAGACACTGGGTTAGGAAAAGCCAGCCCTGGCCAGGGTGGGGTAGGGGGTCTGCCTGCCCCCTGGGGGCGTGGCCCGGGCGCCCGCCGGGACTGCTGAAGGCCACAGTCCCCCCAGGCAGCAGCGACAGCCCTCTTGTGAACAGAACTCAGACGACTCACTTTGGTGCTCTTAAAGGGCACCTTTATTTCCTGGTTTCCTTTGGAGAAAAAAGATTTCAATACATGTTCTTAATTGTGGACATTTTTTTAAAAGGCTGTAAGAAAATATGTAGCCCCACCCCTCGGAGTTAAACTCAAGTTAAAATAGACTGAATTCTCTTCCAGCCTTTCAGCCAGATGTGCTACTTACACATACGCGCGTGTGTTCCAGTGGGTCTGAGCCCCGCCGCCCCCTCTCCTTGCCCTCAGGGGGTTTGAAGGGTTTGTCTGAGGCACTGTTTTCTGAGAATAGTTTCAAACCACTGTTCAAAATGTCAGCATTCCCCCAAGGAGACAGAGAGATCGTGGGGATGGCCGGGGAGAAGGAAACGGCATTGGAGCCAAAACTAATTTTGTAGAAAATTGGGAAAAAATGCTGGTGGAAAGAGAGTGCTTTATTTAGCTGTGAAGTCTTGCTTGGCCGTGCTGTCTTTCCTCAGCTGATCGTGGTCCCAGTGCAGTTAATGCTCAATCCGACCACCTGATAGGACCACAGGTTACACTTCCTCGTCTTGGCTGAGCCTTTGATCAAATCTCCAAGCTTCCAGCGGAAATTCAGGCAAGGAAGAGAACTCTGTAGGTCATGCAGGTCACCATCCACTGCAAATTACTGTCATTTCAGGAAGGAACGAGCAAGAGGCAACAACCTGGGTTTGGCACTGGCGAGGGGAGCCCGTAGTGTCCCCCTGGGAGACCCCTCCAGTGGCCTCGCCAACCTGTCACCTGTGTCTTTTCTTCCAAGTACCAGGGAATCACTGGGGTGAGCGCTGCTCTAAAGAGAAAGCACAACTGCAGAAGACCAAGGGTTTTACCCGCCCTGCTCAGTAACTGGCGGAGGCACAGGAGCTTAGAGAAACACGCACCAGCGCTTAAATAAACACAGCACACAAAGCTGTGCGATCCAAACGGTTTATCCTCAGTAACTCACAAAGAGGAACCTGGTGTGAGTTACCACCAGCTCATGGCAAAATTTTAAGGCTGCCGGTTTGGTGGGCTGTGACTAGAGTTTCTCAGAAGAATTTTCCAGACACAGACTGCAAGCATTTTAGAGTTGGAAGAAGTCTGATATATCAACTACCCAGCCCCTTGGTACTAAGAGACTTCCAGAGACACTTGGATGAGTCCCACTGGCACAGCCAAAGCTGGGAGGCTCTTGCTTCTAGTCTAGTGTTCTCTCCACTGTGACAGACCATGAGCTTCTTTTATCTTTGCAACTTCCTTGTCAATTAAGGCAAGAAAATGTCTAATGGGCACTGAGCCATCCTGACTTCATCTTTCTATCTCTCTAATTGAATCTGCTTGTCTTTAGCCAGCACAGTGGTTCTACAGGAGGAGACGTCTGCAAGAAAGCTAATATTGCCATAATACTATTTCTTCATAGACCAGTTATCCAGCTTTCTGGTAGGTGAAGCTAGAAACAAAGAAATCTGAGCCCCAAATCTAGAACCAAAACAGCGATTCTGTCTTGCTGGGGAATGTCCTTCAAGGCACAGCCTCAGAAGGCGCACAGTGGGCGCAGGTGACATCCTGGACTTCCTTCTCTGATTTTGGGATCTTTTCCTGAAGACTCATCACTAACAACAGGAAAACTTCTACCAGACCTCATATTTAGAGAAAATTCAAAATCGTACATGTTAAATCTACATGAATAGGAAAAGTCTTAACAATTTAATAATGTAATTAAGTCATTCTAGAAACTTCCTTACCAGTAATTTGAACTGTAGTGCCAACCTCATTATAACTGAGTTATTTTGTGATAAGTTGTTCTTCAAATCAGATCAGAATTAGGGGATCAAGGACGCTTTTCTTCAGTGGGCATTGCCTGAACACCTACTATCTTGAGCCAAACCCTCTGGTGGGCTCTGGGGATACAAAGTTGAAGAAGAAAGCTTTCAACCCTAAGCACAAAAATAACACATAGATGATGAATGTCCAGCCACACCATCAATCACAATATTCGTGAATGGATTCACGTCACTCATCATAAGATGTGGAACTTCATCTTGAATTACGTGATTCTTATCTGTGGTCTGATACAAGAGATACACCTAAAACAAATAACAGTTGAAAATCAAAAGATTTTAAAAGAGGCACCAGACAAGTATTAACAACAAGAAAGCAAGCATAGTAATCACAGTGTCAGACAAAACAGAGTTCAAATTGAAAAAGATGAAAATGGCCAAAGAGGGATATTTCATAGCGAGGAAAGATCTACTTGGCTATGAAGAAATAAAAGTCATAAACTTGTATGCATGTAATAACATGGCCTGGAAAAAATATAAAGCAAAAAATAATTGAAATATGAGAAGAAATCAAGAAAGCTACAATCACAGTGGAAGACTTCAGCATACCTCTCTGGGCACAGATAAATCAAGTAGATCAAAAATATGGTTACGAGATAGATGATTTATATTATAGGATTAAGTGGTTCAGTTTAACAGATGTATAGAAAATGTATGTCCATGTAACAAAGACTACAGATTACTTTCAGACACAAATGGGATAGTCTCACAAACTATGCAGGAGGCAGCAAAAAAAAATCTCAACAAATCTCAAAGAAAACAGCCATGTAGATACCACCAAAGGCAAACAAGAAGCAGAAATTCAAAATAAACGAGCCAAAATAAATTTGGAAATTTTTAATAGTATTCCCTGGATGAGGACTTCAAGATAAGAAGTAAAACGTTCTTCAAAGGAATGATATTGACAGCACTGACCATCAAACCTAGCGGCTGTGCCCCCAGCCACGCTCGGCTCATGCACTCCATTAGAACAGGCCTGGGTACCACCTGCTTAACTTGCATCTTTTTGGCCTCCAATCCCTCTTCTCTAACAGGAGGGACTAATGATCCCACAGGATCATTGTAATGACCGAACAAAAGAGTTGGTATAAAAGCTCTGTTAAAGGACAATACAAAAAAACCCATTGAAAGGCTGGAGCTGAGGGCGGGCAAATAAGGATTCACAGACCGTCCCGGGCCGGGTCCCGGGGTGGGGGCCTCTTCATCTGGGCCACATCGAGGAATAGGGACCACCATGTCCACATAAGCCATGTTGGAGGGCACCAACCAGCACTCAAATAAAGACTTTAATTTGACATCAGTTCATGCAGCATCCTCAGCACAGAGGTTGGCCGCTTATCTGTGAAGAGTTAGACAGTAACTAGTTGACCTCTGCGGATCTTACGGTCTCCGTGGTAACTACTCAAATTTGCCATCTTAGCACAAAATCGGCTTTAGTGCATACGCAGATGAATGAGTGTGGCCTGGCCGCCTAATAAAAGCGTCTTTACAAAGTCAGGCAGTGGCCAGATTGGACCTGCAGGCTAGAGTCTGCCAACCTCTGCGATAGCCCAAAAAAACCGATGTACAGAGAACAATTATTAGAGCGGAGAGACCCATGACTCAGGGAAAAGCCTGTCGCTGCAGTCCTGTTTCGCACAGACTGAACTGGTTGTGAGGCCAGCATCCCAAGTGGCAAATCTGAACTTCCACCCAAGCCCGGGGCAGCGACACTCTTTCCTCCCAAACCCCAAGCTCACAGGCATCAGCACGCCCTGACCAGCCCAGCACCGCTCTCCCTCCCCAGGCCTCGCTCGGGGCCCGGCCCCCAGGCAGATGCCCAGGGACGACGCGTGGAACCCCCAGAGCCAGCGCTTTCGTCTCCAAACTCGGTGCTGGGCACGGGGACGAAAGCCCTGAAGCTGCCGGCAGGCCTGCGGTTCGGACGAGAGTGCCGGGCTGCTGACAGCTTTCTGGCGTGGGCCGGGCCGTGGCCTCCGGCAGACCCGCTCCCCCAGCAGATGGTCAGATTCCCGCCGCAGGACAGCTAAGCAATGGAGGAAATGCAGCTGCCCCCTCAGCTGTATTCTTAGCCCAGGGCTGACGAGCGGGTGAGCTGGGGCTCAGAAGGGATGGAACGCTTCCATGCTCAGTCCCTCGGTCTGCATCCCCCTGCACCCTTCCCTCCCAGCCTGGAGCCACCACACCCCTCGGGCAGTTCAGAAGAGCTCTCCTCAGACTCTGAAGAGAACAGGTTTTCCAGAAAGTGAATGGGAGGACTGTGGCAGGAGTCGGCACAGAAACTGGGGAGGCCAAGCCGCGAGGAAAGAGGCCCTGGGGGTCAGTCCTGACTGCGGGGGTTGGTCCCGCCCATCTGCCTAACGCTGGGCTGTTTTCAAAAGCACGTGACCCACAAGGCCTGGATCCCCACCCTCGAGCCTCTCAGTCCACTGCCCGCCCACAGATCGCCACTTTCCTTCCTTCTCAGGGTGAATGTCATTCCCAAGACGGCTGACCTGACAGGAGCGGCCCCCACCCGGACCACAGGGCCTCTGCCGGGATGCTTCGGCCAGCTGTGGGAGCCTGTGCCGGGCCCGCGTGGGTCCTCACCCCAGGCTCCAGCTTCTTCCTGCGCAGCCCAGCGGGAGCTTTGAAATCAGGCCCAGGGCTGGGGCTGACTTGGCCTGTGACCCAGGCAGGATGCCGGTCAGCAGGGACAGCTCCACGGGGCTCTCGGCCCACAGACCCCGGCCGGGAGCAACCAAGGGTGAGGAAGGCCATGCGGAAGGCCCTTTCAGCTCACGATCGTGGTGGGTGTTTCGACCGGAGCAAAACCTACAGCCAACGACTAGTGAAACAAGCTTCAAGGCGCTGACAGCATCGTTCAGCTCACTTCTCCCCTAATTAAGAGGCTTCCTGGTGGGCACAGGAACTAGTGCTCCAGAGTCTAATCTCTATATGTGGTTTGATACCAATAGTCTGATTCCAACCAGCCCTTAGGATTGAATAG